CGTGGTGAGCCCAGCGTCCTCCTATGCCGCCATCTTCCCTCATCTCCCGCAATCAACTTTGAATAAAAATGTGCAAGAGTATCTATTTCCACCCATCCTTTCCAGCTCTGGATGTCATCAGGTTTTTTGTAAATATTTTTATTGAAATACAACATACATACAGTAAAGTATATGCATTTCAGTGTACAGCTTGATATTTTTGTTTACAAAATAAACACACCCATGGAACCAACACCCAGGTCAAGATATAAAACAGCATGTGCACCCCAGAGCTTCCTCCATGTCCCTCTCAGTCACTACTCTGCAATGTAAACCACTATTTTGACTTCTAAAACCATAGATGAGTTTTGCCTATTTTTGAACTTTTCATAAATAGAATCATACATGTATATCCTTTTGTATCTAAGTTATCTTGTTCAATATTATATTTGTGAAATGTATCCATGTTGTTTGTAATAGTACCTCATTCCTTTCCATTGCTGCTACAATTTTATTGGATGAATATATAACATCACTAGTTCACTCTATTGTTGATAAGCATTTGGGTTGTTTACTATTTTCATTATTTACTACAAATAACGTTGCCATGAACACTCTCATACTTTTATTTTGGGTCACATATATAGGCATTTCTGTTGTGTATATATACCTGACTGGAATTACTGGGTAATACGATAAACTGTAATATGTATAGCCCATCAATGTTCCAAAGTAATTCTATCAATTTATGTTCCCACCAGCAACGTGGGACAGGTTCTATTTTTTTCAATTTTAGCACTCCTCAATGGATGTAGAGTATTCTCTGATTGTTATTTTAAGTTGCCTTTACTTGATAACAAAATTGAGTGTCTATTTATTGTCTTACTGACCATTTGGATATTGTGTTTTTGATGCAGCTGTTCCAGATTTGTCAGTAAAAATATTTGGGTTGCCTCTTCCTTCTGCCGCTCCCAGTACTGCTTGTGTGCTCATTGGGTGTGGACCTGATACCTTTTTTGTGAAGCCACAGCTGAGGAGACTCCAGCGCTCGCCATGGCTGACAAAAAGCCCAAGGAAGGTGTCAAGACTAGGAGCAATGACCATATTAATTTGAAGGTGGCAGGGCAGGATGATTCTGTGGTACAGTTTAAGATTAAGAGGCATACACCACTTAGTAAACTAATGAAAGCCTATTGTGAACGACAGGGTCTGTCAATGAGGCAGATCAGGTTTCTATTTGATGGGCAGCCAATCAATGAAACAGACACACCTGCACAGTTGGAAATGGAGGATGAAGATACAATTGATGTGTTCCAGCAGCAGACAGGAGGTGTCTACTAATAATGGAACCTGCTACTTTACCCCAGAATTCTGTCCTTCCAGATCAAGAAGACATTCTCAATTAGAAAACCGCAATTTGGTTCCACCACAGCCTTACTACAGTATAGTTTTCTCTAGTATTTCATTTTCCCCTTCCCTGTTCATTTACTGGATATAAAAGTAACTCTGTATGTGCACAAGCATATTGCATTTTTTAACTAATTGGCCAATAGTATGTTTTTATTGACATCAAATGGAGATGGGAAGGGCAAATACCCCATTTCTGTGAAAATGCTCCTTTTCTCCACTAGTGGCGTGTTCATTCAGCTCTTTATATTCCAGTAAGTTGTTTTGCTCTCACTGCTTAACAAAACAAAGAGCAACATAAAAACCCTTGCATACCTTGTTAGATTGGAGAATTTTAATGTTTTTCATTTATGATTGAAAAACTAAGTTTATAATTTTTTGTACATAGCTGTTACATATAGGGCAATCTGTCTTTAGGTAGGGATAAAACTGAATCCTAGATAGCTTTCCTTTCAAGTAAAATGTCTTGTTGTTTAAATAAACTCCGTGTTTAAAATGAAAAAAAAAAAAAAACAATTGGGTTGCTCTTATCTTTATTGATTTGTAGTTCTGTATAATTCTGAATCTAAGTCCTTTCTCAGATACAGGTATTGAAAATATTTTCTCCCATTCTGTGACCTGCCTTTCACTCTCTTAATAACGTCTTAATTTTAATAAAGTGGAATCTATTTTTTTTTTGTTTAGGGTTAGTGCTTTTTGTGTCCTTGCTAAGGAATGCTTGACTATATCAAGGTCATTAAGACACTATCCTATGTATCTTAAATAACTTTCATTTGTTTCACCTTCCACTTTTAATCTATGATCCATTTGGAATTGAATTTTGCATATAGTTTGAAATTGATGCAAAGGATTATTTGGATTTATTGGCTAACCCAGGTAATCCAGAGCCACTTACCAAAAGGACCATTTTCTCCCCTGCTGCATTATAATGGGTTGTTTTTATCATAAATGACAGTATACATATAGATCTCTTTTCAGACTCTACCATTGTTCAGTTTTTATATATTTGCAAAAATCACACATTGGTTAAATTGTTATAGCTTTGTAAAGTAATTTGATTTCTGTAAATCATCAAATTTTGTTTTTCTACAAGATTTTAATTGCTGTTATTGCCATTTGCAATTCTATGTACAATTTAGAATCCACTTGTCAATTTCCATTTTAAAAAGCCTACTGGGATTATTATTTTGTATTGGAAATTGAGTTATAGAAAATAAACATCTTTAAAATATAGAGTTTTCTAATTGGTGGCCAGTGTACAATTCTCTTTTTATTTAGGCCTATGTTAATTTCTCTCAATGTTTTTGTACTTTTCTTTGTAGAAGTATTGCAATCTTTTGTTAATTTTATCCCTCAATATTTGATAATTTTTTAAAATAATGCCAGTGGCATTATTTTTCATTTTATTTTCTGCTTGTCATTAATGTATAGAAATACAAATCATTTTTGTATATTATGATGGTTAATTTTATGTGTTAAGTTGACTGGATCAACGTGTGCTTAGATATTTCACTAAACATTATTTCTGGGTATCTGTGAGGGTGTTTCTGGATGAAATTAGTATTTGAATAGGTAGACCAAAAAAGTAGTTTGCCCTCCATAGTGTGGATTGGCATCATCCTATCTGTGGAGGGGCTGAATAAAACAAAAAGGCAAAGGAAGAATTGAGCCCTTCCTACCTGATTGCTTGAGCCAGGATATCAATCTTTTCCTGCTGGCCTTGATCCTCATTCTCAGGCCTTCAGACTGACTGAATTACACCACTGGCTCTCCTGGATCTCCAGCCTGCAGATGGCAAATTGTGGAACTTCACAACCTCCCTAATTGTGTAAGCCAATTCGTCATAATAAATCCTTTCCTAAATATATCCTATTGGTTCTGTTTTTCTGGAGAACTCTGACCAATACATACAGTGACCTTATATCTGGCAAACTTGCTAAATTTATTTATTAATTCTAGTAAGTTTTTTTGTAAATACTTTTAGAATTTCCACACACACACAGCCATGTCATCTGTAAATAATGAAACACTTATTTCTTCCTTTTCAATCTTTGTAAGATCCAGTTCTCTTTATTTATTTTTTAAGTTTATTTATTTATTTTGAGAGAGATGGAGACAGCGTGAGCAGGGTAGGGGCAGAGAGAGAAGGAGAGAGAGAATCCCAAGCAGGTTCCACACTGTCAGCACAGAGCCTGATGCGGGGCTCCAACTCACAAAACCGTGAGATCATGATCTGAGCCAAAACTGAGAGTCTGACACTTAACTGAATGAGTCACCCAGGTGCCCTGATCCATTTCTCTTTCTTAATTTATTTTCTAAAATATCCAGTTCAAGTTTGATTAGAAATGGTAATACAGACAACCAGGTCTCATTTCTGATCTCAGAGGGAAAGCTTTCAATATTTCACCATTAACATGCCTTGTGTTGGGAATGTTTTAAAACCCTTTATCTGATTAAGAAATTTTCCTTCAATTCCTAGTTTTCCAAGATTTTTTCACATGAATAAGTGTTGAATTTTATCAAAGGCTCTTTCTGCCTCTATTGTGATGATGATATAGTCTTCTTTTCTGTTAAGGTGATGGATTACGTTATTGCCTTTTAAATGTTAAACCATTCTTTTATTCCTCAAATCTAACTTGTTTGTGATGTAGTTAACTATCCTTATTATCCTTGGATTTATATTGCTAATATTTTGCGTAGGAGTTTTGCATCTATAGTCATAAGAGATTTGGTTGATGGTATGCCTTTCTTATAATGTCCCTGACAGGTTTTAGTGTCAAGATTATAATGGCCTCATAAAACATGTAAGGAAATGTGTCATTCACTCTTTTTTTAATTTCTGGAGGAGTTTAACATTCATGTTATTTTTGCCTTAAATATTAGTGAGAATTTACTGCGAATCCATCTTGATCTGGTATTTTCTTTGTGGGAATATATTTAATTGTGCAACCAATCTCTTTAATATGTATAAGATTATTTGAATTTTATATATCTAATTGAAATCAGTTTTAGTAAGCTGCATTTTTTACATAACGTGTGCATTTTATGCAAAACATCAAATTTATTGTTCATAATATCTTCTTGTCTTTACAGTATCTATAGATTCTATACTGATGTCCCTTGTTTCCTGACTGATACTTATAATTTATATTTTATGTTTTTCTTATAAGTATTGCTACAGATTTATCAATTTCATTAGTCTTTTCAAAGAGCCAACTTTTGGCTTTGTTAATCTTCTCTGTTGTCTGTTTTCCATTTTTTTGTTTTCTGCTCTTATCATCTTTCTCCTCCTTTCTTGCAGTTTAATTTGTTATTTTTTAATCTTTTTGAGGTGGGTGTTTATATCATTGATTTTTAGCCTTTCATCTTTTCTAATATATTCACATAAGGCTATAAAGCTCTAAGCACTGCTATAGATGCATTGGACAAGTTGTAATGTCATGTAATGTATTACTTAATTTTTCAGTATTTGGAGATTTCTAGTCTTTTTGTTATTGATTTCTACCTTAATTGCACCCACTGTGGTCAGAGAACATACTCTGATTCCAGCCACTCAAAATGTGTTGAGAATTGCTTTGTGGCTCAGCATATGGTCAGTTTTGATAAATAGTCCAGGAACAATTTGAAAAGAGTGTCTTCTACATTTACTTCATACAACGTTCTAAATATGTTAGAACATATTTGTTAGTCTTATTTATGCTTCTATACCCATACCTTTGTTTTGTCTGCTTATTCTATCATTTTATTGGAGAAGGTGTGCTAAAATCTCCACATTTGTTTGTAGATTTATCTGTTTATGTGTGGAGTTATGTCAGCTTTCACTTAATATATTTTGGAGCTATTTTGTTTTTTATAATTTGTTGTTGAATTGATCCTTTAATCATTGTGATATGTCTAATATCTCTCATAATACTTTTTACCTTAAAGTCTAATTTGCCTTACATTAGTATAATTATAGCTGCTTTATTTTGATTCACGTTTGCATAGTGTATCTTTTTCAACATTCACTTTCAAATTTTCTATCTTCTTTAAGTAAGGTGTGTCTGTTGTAAGTTGCACATAGTTGTAGTTTGTTTTTATCCAGTTTAACAATTTTTGTGGGTTTTTTTAATGTTTATTTATTTATTTTGAGAGAGAGGCAGTGTGGGAAGGGCTGAGGGAAAGGGGGAGAGAGAATCTTAAGCAGGCTCCATGCCAGTGGAGCCTCACACAGGGTTTGATCTCACAACTGTGAGATCATGACCTGAGCCAAAATCAAGAGTCATATGCTTAACTAACTGAGTCACCCAGGTGCCCCTACAATCTTTATTTTTTAATTGGACTATTTACTCTATTAATGGACTATTAAATATAAATGTGATTTACTGGGAAATTTGGGTTTTAATCTACCATTTTACTATTTGTTTTCTATTTGCCCTCTTTTCTTTAGCCTGTTTTTTTTTCCTTTACTGCTTTATTTTGCATTAACCAAGTTGTTATTTCATTTTTAACACTCTTGTAACTTGTCTGTGGTATTTTTTTATTAATAGTTCCATTTCTCACAATTACAACATCCTTCTTGGCTTATGAAAATCTACCCTAACATAGTGCTCTTACCACTTTTCAGACAAGGTAAGAACCTTATAACACTTCAACTCCATTTATACTCTCCCATCTTTTGTGCTATTATCATGTATTTTAATTGCGCATATATTTTAAACTCCAAAAGATACTATTGTTCTTTTGAATGGACAATATTTACATGGATTTACCTGTATTAACTCATTTTAGTATTCTTCATTTTTTCTTAAATTAATTGTTTCCATTTGGGATCATTTTCCTTATGCATAAACAACCCCCTTTAGTATTTCTTTTAGTGCATGTCTGGTAGTTATAAATTCCCTCAATTTTTGTTTCTCTTAAACCTTTCTGATTCACCTTCATTTTGAAAGAATTTTTTCCTGGTTGGAACATATT